TAACGATTCTGCTATATACTCTGCTTCACTGTAAACGGTGCGCACCTGTCAAATAAATCCCCAGTCCGACGTCACCGGAGTGGTTAGAAAAAAAAGCTGGTTTTCCAGAAGTGGGGAAAAACAGACACATTTTCTTTCAAATATGTGCCCTTGCGCTTTGCAAAATATTTTAATATGGTACTTTATGGTATTATGTAGTATTTTCACAAATGATTCTACATTTTTTATATAGTTTTTAACCTAAAATATGCTTTTTTAAAACTAAGATATTTGTTTCACATACCTTTACTAACATACATGATCTTTTTAAAATAATACAAATTTAAAATGAATTCATTCAAGTTAAAATTTTTGTTGAAAAATCTTTATATATTACAATTATTTGGTTTCTGTAGTTGTTGCTAACTAGTTTAGATAAAGATTTAGATGTCCTTAAATGTAAAGATATTTCAAAACAGAAGTGCTGTAACCATGGCAGTCTGTGAAATATTTTTTTGTTTAGTTTTTTTTTTTTTTTTTGCAAAGTCACTAATGTTTATTATGGAACAAAATTTTAAGCTTTAAACTATATTTAAATCAGGCCAACAAAGTGGACATTTTTATGCTGTTCAGCACTTTCATTTCTCATACTTTATGGCTTTAGTCTACACAAGGGATGACAATTTTAAATGCATAAAGAACACAATCAACCAAACCCTGCAATAATTAATATTTAATAGTTACTTTTTCTTTAATAACGCAATAATTCATATACTTACAGAAACATTTTTTAATGTTATTCATCTGCTTTATTACATGTATTGTAAATGAATTGCAATGTTTGAGATTCAGTGTCACCTAAACGTAAAGATTATCAGGTTTACTGACAGACAGTTTCACAATACTGTTGTTGTATTTATGTTGTATAAAGGATTTTGGATTGTAAGATTATCATATATTCTGCTCACTTCAATCTATCTGTTTTGTTTTATCAGAGGGTAGTCAAATAAATAATCATTGTGGAGAAAAATATATTTCTATTATTTGCTTTTATTTTCATTTGAACAAGAAATGGCATGTCTAAAATTATTTATACCCTTCTTAATAAATAGCCTGGGCGAAAACCAATGCTGAGCAAAAATAATAATTACATTTTTCAATATTTTTATAGCACTTTTTACAACGTAGATTGTGTCAAAGCAACTTAACATAGGTTAAGTTCTTGTAAATATACATGATTCTGTACAGTTGATACAGTTGAAGTTCAGTTTCTGTGTAATGTAACCACTGCTTGAAGGGACAGCTTTCTGTAAACAATAACCCCCAAGTTGACTAAAAGTTGACAACTGAACTGAAAATCCATGAAGGGTTAGACAGTATTCTAGATGTTTGCCCGAAAGGTTTTTAGTTCTGAAATACAAGATCTCGGTTTTATCTGAATTTAGTTATAAGAAAAATGTAAAAACTTTTATTTTTTAATATCAGCTATAAAATCTGTTAGTTTTAGTGAATTTGAACAAATGATCAGGTTGAGAGGAGATATATATTTGTGTATCATCGGCATAACTGCATGTCGCACTGCATGTTTTTTTTTTTTTTCTAATATCGCCTTTTGGTAGCAATGTAAAATATAAGGGACCAAGAACTAAGTCTTGTGGTACTTCACAGTGTACTTTTGATATATTGGTATGACGAATCTTCATTAACTGACTCAAATTGATTATGTTGAGATGGGTAAGACATGCAGTTCCATTATTACCAACTTATTTTTTTGAGTCTATCAAAAAGAATGTTATGATCAATAATATCAAATGCAGCATTGAGGTCCAGCACTAGAAAAATGCAACCACAATCTGACAAGAAGAGCAGGTCATTCATAACTCAGGAGGGCTGTTTCTGTGCTATGGAATGCTCTAAATCCAGATTGGAATTTCTCACAAATAAGTAGATATGACTTTTTCCTAGTATCTTTAATTGAAAGGCAAGTTCGAAATGGGTCTATAATATACTAATTCTTTAGGATCAGGAATTAATCCATCAAGGGATCGCAACATAAAGAGTGCACACGAATTAAGTTGTCCAATTTAATAATTTATTACAACCAAAACAATCAAACAAATGATGAGTCACAAGTAAGAATGAATAAAGAATCAAAAACTTACATTCTTCAACAAATATACAACTTTAACCTAAGGCTAACAACCCAACAATTAACGAAGCAGATCAAAGTAAGACTTAAGGGGAAAATACAGGAAAATAAAGAAAATAAAAGAAGATTGATGGCTAGCATTGAAGTCTCCTCTCTCTCTGTTCAATGTTGGTCCACACTTATAGCCAATTTGCAACTCGCCACAGGTGAGCAAAGGTGGACTCAACAAACAGTAAGTGACGTCATGACACACACACACACACACACAAGCACAACCATAACACCCCTACACCTAAAAGAAGAATCCTATCTTCTGTTAAAGGGAGAGGATTCTGGGGGGAAGCATCCAAAAGCCAACATGAAAAATACCCCCATGAGAGGGAATCAGCTACAACTTTGTCACTCCCCTTTTTGTGCTGGATCTTAAAATTTTAACGTTGGGCCATCAATGCCCAGCACATTAATCTCTGATTATGATTGTACATCTTATTTTAGAAAAGCAATGAATTGTGGTCTGTATAGACCATGACGGGAGTAAAACTGCAGCCAACATACACATCAAAATGTTGCAAGGCAAGCAACATCGCCAGGGTCTCTGTTTATATGACAGAATAATTAATTTGATTGCGATTTAATTTAGCAGAAAAATAAGACACTGGGTGAGTTATATTATCAGCACCATCCGAAAGCAGGACAGCTCTGACTCCAGTCTCGCTGGCATCCACCTCTCACTTAAATGGTCGATCCACAGCTGGGGCAGACAAGACAAGTGCACTGCAAAGTAGAGAGTTAGCACACAAAAACGCATTCTGACATTTATTAGTTTAAATAAACTCAATTTTAGAGCTACACAATTTTGTAAGCGGAGCTACCACGGTCAAGAATTTCTTACAAAAACACCTATAGTACCTGGTCATTCCAAGAAAGCGTCTCAATTCTTTCCGCATAATAGGAACAGGATACAAAAGGATTGCGTTCACTTTAGCATTCACCGGACATACTTTACCACTCCCATCCTGCTTGCCCAGGTATATAACTGAAGCTTTTGCGAAGTCGCACTTTGCAGGATTTAAAGTAAGAGAGGCAAAAGATAAGCAATGAAACATCTCACGCAGGGTTGAAACGTGGTCAGTCCAACTAGTAGAGTAAATATCAACATCATCCAGATAGAAGTTACAATTTGGAATGTTGTCGAGATTGATAGACATTAGTCTTTGAAATATAACTGGTGCATTTCGGAGATCAAACACCATCCGCGTATATTGAAGAAAGGTATTGGAGGGTCATGAATGGAGATATATTGAAGCACGTTCAGTCACCTTGCCAATAACCCTTCAAAAGATCTAATTTTGTGATGTGTTGAGCACTATCACAATTATGGACACAATCATCTATCTGCGGTAATGGAAAATCATCCGTTCAAAATCAAAACGATCCAGCCGGTTTTGGAACTAATACTAACGATGAACTCCAAGGCCTGGTGCTCTTTTTAGCAAAGTCGGTATGGGATAGAGTGGAGCTGGTGGGACTATTTGATTTGGTTTCCCTATAACCTGACAGGTATGACAGATAAGACTTTACAATGCCGAGAAACATCAGCATTTAAACACGGCCAAAAAAAAATGTTTCAGCACCCTATTATAGGTTTTATTTACGCCCAGATCTCCAGACCACAGATGGTCTTGAGCTAAATTCAAAATCTGCAGTCTAAATTGAGAGGGCACCACAATCTGATGGACTACATTCCAATCATTCCAGTCCAATCTGCACATCATCACTCTACGGACGAGGACTCCAGCAACGCATTAAAACAGTGTTATTCCAGTAAAACTGATTACATGGTGACAAATTAGCATCAGCACTCAAACGACACTTCGCCAGTGTGGAATTATTTTTCTGAGCTTCAGTGAGGACCTCACAAGAAATAGGTAAAAAAAACAATAGGATTTGGCTGTCCAGCTTTTAAAAGGTTAGGGGCCTCTAGAGACTGAGGAAATGCATCCTTCTTAAAAATCTCTGCAAAACCAGACTCATCTAAGTTAACATAGTTTCAATTCAAACGTTTCGCTTGAGCCTGACTTGTAACGGC